TCATCTTGTTTGCATGTATTTAATAAGAGCTTGACTTATGCTTAGAGAGGATGATTGGAGGAGGCTGGTTCGGTTTTTTTTTTTTTTTCTTAGTTTAGGTATCTCTCCCAAGGTTGTTGGCAGCACACTTGCTGGCCAAACAGATCTTCATTGAGACACATTTTCTTGTTATTTCCGGTTTATTTTACAACATTTTTATAGCCTTTTAAGTTCTTTTTTAGTTTGTTTAATTTCCATTCCTTGTGAACATTTAAACTTTCTTGTATTTTCTTGTTATATTTCAAGTTCGGTTTACATTTGATGCTGCCAGTTTTTGTTTCCGGATTTGAGTTTTGTGTCTCATCTATTTTCCAGCAATCCTTGCATGAAATTGGAGCTCTTTGAGTCTTGGAAAGGATGGCTTTGGATGCTTATTTGATGGAAACATCATAGGGCTCCACAAGCTTGATCTTTGTGTGTTTATTTACTTGCACTTTCTATTTCTTGCTCTTTAATTTTTCTGCCTAGTTTTTATATTCTGCCTTTTAATTTTTTGTTGCTGTTTACATATTGTTTTTATGCTTCTATTATGTTATTAAATCATGTTTAATTGTTTATTGCTTGGTTGATTTTAGCCTTAGATATAGGATTGTTGTTTCATGCATTTTTCCTCCCATTCTTCTTGCATTATTTAAGTAGTTTTTCATCACTTTGTGTGCAGTTTTTGGTCTGAGTGCCCTGCATGTTTTTTGTTCATTTTTAAGTCTGTTTTGAGATTATAAGACAGTTTGTGACGTTACATGTAGCTAGGATTAGTTTTGATTGCATTTAGCTCACTAGATCCATAGTTTAGGTTATGTTTTATGTTCCAACTTGTGTATTTTTTTTAAGCATTTCTGGTCAGTTTTAGGCAAACCTTTCCGATACCTTTTTGGCCTGTTTCCATGTCTATTTTAAGCTAGGAAAACACTTTTTCCAAATTCCTTAGGTAGGGTTGCATTTTCCTAGCATCTTAGGTCATAGCTCTTAGTTTCCATGCATTCTAGTATTTTAGTTTGCATAAATTTTTATTTCCATTTGTGTTTGGTTTTTGCATAAGATTCCTATAGGTATTTGGTTCCATTTTAGGTCTAGATTAACCATGTAAAACAGTTTTTATTTTTATTTACATGTAATGCATGTTTAGGTGGTAATTATTCACATAGGTCATATAGGAATTTCGGTTAGTTTACTTGCAAGTTTTATTTTCTGTTTTTATTTTAATTTTCTGCATTTAAATTATTAAACTTTTATGCTTAAATTATTGTTTAAGTGTGTTTAAATTATTTTTCATGCCATAGTTAATTTCTACTTAATTGTTTAATTTTTATTTTTAGCAACTTTCCATTTTTAGTAATTTCTATATTTAGTATGCTTTAGTTCTTGAGTAGTTACCTTTTTCATAATTTGTAGTAATTAGATTTTAAATATTTAGTAAGGTTTAATTTTCATGTAGGGTTTTTAATAAAAAAAAAGATTTTTGATTTGACCAGATAGATCCAAAATATCAAAATTGACATTTACCTTTAGGTTTAAAATTTCCAATCACTGAAGAACGATAATCCGAAATACTTTTGATTTTTATTACTTTTGCAATATATTTATAGTACTACTGATGAGTAGCAATAGCATGCGATGCAGTTTTTAACTGCACTGGAGCATCAGTTTTTAGCTGAAGCAAAAAGGTGCAATGTTATAACTGCATCGCTCCTTTATACTTTTTTACCCTATTTTCTCTTCATGTTTTTCTTTGTTTTTCATGTTATTATTTTTTAACTATTTAAATGATAAATAATTTTATATTATCAATCTATGTTTTTAATGGTCATTGTATCATTTTACTATACTTAATCTCACCATTACCATTACTATTGCGATTGCATCCAAACATATATCTCATCACTGATTTTAATTTTATAACTACAGTATTCAATCTCACTGTTACAGTAATTAATTTCACCTCTATCATTATTTTCAATTTCATCGAAGTCGATCTCACCACTTATCCAAAGACCCTAAACATTCATAATATGATAGTGAGAATGTTACTCACATGACCATTAAAACGTAACGATGAATACTTATTATTTATGAATAGTTAAAAAATAATAATAATAATAATAAATACTCATTCCACAAATATTAAATATGTCATTATCATCCTGAAAGAAATAAGAGATCAGCTAAGAAGCTCTTTAGCTATGGGAATTATTATACAAACTATTACTTATGGTGGTGCAGGAAGCCCATTTCTGCTTAGTACATGAACTAGGGAGGATGTGCACGGTTGGCTAAGCCAGCCATTCGGGCATATATCCCCTCCTTAGGGCTTAGATCAAGTAGTTACGCAATCCGCCTCCTTTTTGTCTTTTCTTCTAACCAAACGATAAGCTTCCAGCTTTTCTTATGATTTGGCTTCGCCACACAATTAAACACTTCTGTCGAATCTGCCTTAAAAATCACCTCTGAACTCCCTTTCAGCTTTTAGCTTCACCCCTTGCTTACATGCTAAAGCTTCAGCAACCAAAAGCTGATTCAGATGTTGTCAATCCTAGCAACCAATTTATTCCCAGCACTCTTTGGGAACCTCTTTGTTCAAAGAAAAGGTTGGTTAGTTCTTTAATTTGGAGAAAGTTAAGGACACAGAAATACCAAAATTTTCTCTCTCCACTAATTTGGAAAAACATGGAACATAATTTCTGCACATCACCAACATAGACAACTTAATTTTCCATTCAACAAATCACCAAACTTTTTCCTATTTCTGTAGGATCGTCTATGTCTTTCCAGGAAAATAACTGATTGGAATGTTATTGATAGGCTTTAAAATTGTTGGAAAAATTGTTAATTGGGATTGGTATGCAAGGAAAATTGTCCATTAAAATTCTTCTTTTTTTAAATGGAATTGTCCATTAAACTGGTCATTCAGACAATTATGCAAGAAGAAAATATAGTGCATGGAGAGGCAAAGTAAAACAAGTAATTAATAATAATAACTGTGTGGTCTATGCACCAAGAAGGAGTAAGGCACAGAGTAAGGACAATAAGCATGGATCACAGGCAGATGGTCCCGTCCACTTGACCTCACAGATGTGAAAATATTCCTTCTGAGTTTGATATTGTTCACTTGAACCAAAATCTATCATAACAAGGCAAACATGATTAAGCAATTGTCTACCATTCCTTAGCTGTTGATCACCATGCTCTTTTAATCCACAATGAACTGCAGCATATGCCGGCAATTCCTTTATTCATCATCTACCATTAATTATCTCTTATATTCCCAACCATCCTGCTTTACCAAGATTGCAGTTGTTGCGCAAGCCTGCATCCATAGAGAAGATCCGATTTGATTGTCTCTTTTCACATTTTCTAGCAATCGAGTACTGTCCACTTCGATATCTTTAGCATAGGGCTAAAAAAAGCTCTAAGACTGACGTAGGCTTGGTTCAGGTCAACTATGATGGTGGATACAGGTACATGTGCAAATAGCTAGGCACTAGGTATACCCTATCACATTTAATTGGCTTTTTATATGCGTAGCTATCTCTCGTTGTGAGTCTCGGTCGGCTTCAGGCTCTCTTTGCGACTTTTACTCCCAGCCGTGTTCCAGGACTTGCGCCTGGATTCCTCCGTCTGGTAGGCTTTCAGCATTCTTAAATATTGCCAGGGGAAGACCTAGTTTCCTTCGCCTTCGATTTATAAGCTTGGTCTTTGTCATAACATAATCGCGGGTCTGGAGAACGAGGCAGACAACGACCTGAAATGAAAGAGTAGAAAATCAAAAAGATGATCTTGTAGGCAAGGATACAGATCAAAAAAAAAGTGGGGCAGATTTTATCTTTAAATATATTGACCCAGCCCCAGGTATGGAATTCTCCACTCACACACACTAAATAATATGTATGATCCCTCCTGGCAATTAACTGAATTTCCCCTTTCCCCTACAGGACAAGTAAAGGAGGGAGTGCAACGGGCTTTGGACTCCCTAACCCCATGACGAGGTTCATCTTCCAATTTTCTGTCTCCTCTGTGTGAAAAATCTGGTGGCATCTACACATGTATCTCTGTACCTCATCTCACCAATCTCTTCCGGTAGCATTTTTGGACAAAGACTAGAAGAAAAAGCATGTAATCGGATAAACATAGATTGATTTTGCTGTATCCATTGATAATATGACTGCCAATGTTCTTTATATCTTCACATTCAATGTAATTAGGAATTCCAAGTTCAGCAGCAACTTTAGTGACACCAAAGGATACTACTACTTAAATCCAGAACTTAACTCAGTTGATTCATGCAACTACTCTTAAGAGGTGGCATCTTGTAGGTTTGGATTCAAACCCCAATACGATCTCCTATCTCCAAGTTGTAGCCTCATTTGTACACACACAAAAAAAAAAAAAAAAAAACTACTATGTCAAAAAAGATGGGCAAAACGACTAGTAGTTTCGAATTGGATGAAAAAAGATCATCGGTAGGTGGTATTGGAAGGTTGATTAGGGCGGACAATAGCAGAGTGCTAAAAAATGTAACTGATTTGATTTCAAGCCTGACTAAGGATCTCCAGCTTTTCCGGTGCTGAAAGATTCAGCTTTTCTTTCCACATTTGAACACATTTATTTGCGCTTGCATTTGGTACGTATTAAAGAACCAGCATTAAGCAATTTGATTTAGATATCACTTACAAATTACAATGAAAAAAAAGAATCAAACTCCTTTACTCTATCATTAATAATTCTAACAAAAACTGGAGACAGAAATAAATGAAGTATAAGAAACCCAAGAGGATCCCAAGACCCTATTTTGCAGGCACAAATAGGTTTAATTGATTCACGCAATAAAATTTAGCAAGTCTAGAGTTTAAATCCAAGCATCAACAATCTCTTCCGCTATCTCATACTACTCATTAAAACAAATCAAGAAAAAAACAAAAACAGATCTTAACCATCTTCATCACTTGTTTGGTGTATATCCTTCTTCAAGCAATTGATTCCCCTCTCGATTTGATTGGCACAAGGCTTTCCATGTAGACATAAGCTTTAAAAAGTAGAGGTCCAAGAATTTGAAGCTTCTTAAATTCTTGCCTTTTAAGATTGTAGGTCACCAATTGAAAATTAATCCTATCTTTGTCGTCCATAATTTCGAAGACAATCTCATTATTTTTCCAAACTGCTAAAGGCCTCACAAATATAAAATGTCCAATTTCAATAGCAAATACCTTGGTCCAAGACTCCTTCACACCATATTCCTTCATAGCAAATATATCTAATAACGAATGGTTTCTATGAGTTACATGACTTACAGCAAAGCTCCTATCCCATACCAGAAAATGCATGAAAGGCTTGACATCATCTGGGAGTGGTATTATATCGAACTCTTCATCACTCAAGTTGAACACGATGATGACAATATCATTACTATCAGGTCTTTCAGGAAAACCTTTCCAATGGATTGCTCCGTTGAAGTAAAAACTTCCATGAGGAGCACTAATTTGTCTGGAATTCAAGCTATTCAACTTACCATTATTTACTTGTCTCCAAGAATAAGTTCCCAAAGTGTAGACTTCCACATTGTATGACATCCTGACCATAGAAGTTCTCCTATCATTGTCTCTTCGTGACTTGGTAATCCTTACGGCCTTGTACCGATGATTTTTTAGATCATAGCCAAATGCAACCGAATATAAATATGATGAATCGTTACCGGAACTAGTATCTGGTACAAGAATTGTCTCCCTGGTAGCCAAATTACATAGAACGCTATAACCTTGACTATAGTTGGAGTAAAAGATAATGCCATCACAGTTGGCTGAAAGTTCTAAATCATACACCGAGGAATTGCCAAGGATTCCTAGATATACATCAACACCACTACAAGAAGAATCGTTATGAGAGATCATTGAGAGGGAAGCTTTTGATTGTGATGATTCGCTGTTAAAGCGCTTGATAAGGATGCTTTCCTTATTGTTGCGGCGGCTGCGATCCAAGTGCATGGTTATGAACTTGTTACTGTTAATGAGAGCGTACCATGATTTGCAAACCGATTTGAATCGCAACAAAGATTTCACTGGCAAGTTTAAAAGGATTTCCATCATTAAATCTTTTGGTAAATCATTGGAACTAGAGAAGTCCCCCATGAATATTGTTTTTTGCTTTTTTTCTCGCCGGAGGAGGGGGGAGGGGAGTTTATAGCTGGATTGAAGGTTTAATGTACCGCCACCCTATATATAAGGTTTAGGGTATGAAAAATATTATCTTAAAGGTAATTATGCATATAAAATACAATAAAATTTTAAAACTCTCAAATCAAAAGTAAAATTAGTGAGACAAAAATATTTATTTATAATAAATGAATAGCTACGAAATTTTTATTCAAAAAATTATAATATTTTATATAGTCATGTTTTTTCATTTAAACAAACTTAATCACACAGTTATATTTTTTTATTCAAACATGTTTATTCAAGATAGTCATGTTTTTTTTTATTAAAAATGTTTATTTAGAATAAAATTAATATTTTATTAATATATCAAATTTAAAAAAGTAAAAGATTTAAATAAAAAAAGAAATCTATTTAATTAAATAAGTCCAAGTGCTCAACTTTTTTACTTTTAAAATTATTTGACCTATTAGAAAACCTCATTGCAAGCCCAAATGATTTGGCTTACTTCAATACTTAGATTAATTATATAAATAACACAAGTAATCTCTTTTAAATTACGTACAAATGATCTTTTTATTTAATATAAAATACACCATATTTTAAACTACAAACTTCTTAAAGAGATAGAATTATTTACATACAAGTAATAATATCTAAGTATTTGAGTTGTTAAAAAAAATAACAAAACAAATTAGATGATTTAGTATAACTAATAATAAATGTAGTATAAATTAGCCACTTATATGCAGCTAATTTATCTCTATTTTTAATTTTTAAATTTTACTTTTTTAAAATTTATAATATCGCATTAATAATATTATGTGACATGTTAACTAATGTCGGTGTATTATCATGTGACGTTTGAAATAGCAATGTCACATTAGTATATTATTAGAGATTAATGATAGAATGATAAAAAAAAATATGGAGCCGTAAATATTGAATGTTAAATCTAATTTTACAAAATTTAGTGATTAAAATAAAAAATTTTATCTAAAATTAGATGAGTAATAAACATTTCGTTTACCGCTTTCTTATTTATATCCTAAAAGATAATGGATTCCATAAATTTGACATAAATTTGACCCTATCGTACCTATAAAAATTATTTGTAAAGTTTTTTGACATGGATTAAAAACAAAAGATACCAAAAGGATAGCGTATCTCTTGTAAGTATCATCTCCCAAAGGGTAAATATCCTAAACAGCTTTTGGGTCATTGTGATGGCATTATTAGCCTATCAAATTACAGAGATGATATAGTTCTATGTAACCCTGCAACTAGGATGTCAAAGGTGCTCCCTGAGTCTTCTCTCCCTTGTTATCCCTGAATCCCAAATTTGATTCCGCAAACCTGTGCCTTGGGATTTGGTTATGATGCTAAAAGTCATCACTGCAAAGTTATTAGGATAGTTTCATATTGGGAGTGGCTTAACTGACTAATTAAAACAAACCAAGAAACAAAACAAAAATAGATCTTAACCATCTTCATCACTTGTTTGGTGTATATCCTTCTTTAAGCAGCTGATTCCCTTCTCGATTTGATTGGCACAAGGCTTTCCATGTAGACATAAGCTTTAAAAAATAGAGGTTCAAGAATTTGAAGATTCTTAAATTCCTGCCTTTTAAGATTTTAGGTCACCAATTGAAAATTAGTCCTATCTTTGTCGTCCATAATTTCGAAGACAATCTCATTATTTTTCCAAATTTTCAAACGCCTTACAAATATAAAATGTCCAATTTGAATAGCAAATACCTTGGTCCAAGACTCCTTCACACCATATTCCTTCGTAGCAAATATATCTAACAATAATGAATGGTTACTATGAATTTAATGACTTACAGCAAGGCCTCCATCCCACACCAGAAAATGCATGAAAGGCTTGGCATCATCTGGGAGTAGTATTACTCTTCATCACTCAAGTTGAACAAGATGAAAATATCATTACTATCAAGTCTTTCAGGAGACCAACCTTTCGAATGGATTGCTCCATTGAAGTAAAAACTTCCATAAAGAGGACTAATAATTTGTCTGGAATTCAAGCTATTCAACTTACCATTATTTACTTGTCACCAAGAATAAGATCCCAAAGTGTAGACTTCCACATTTTATGACATCCCAACCATATAAACTCCTCTTCGAGACTTGGTAATCCTGATAGCTTTGTACCGATGATTTTTGAGATCATAGCCAAATCCGGCAGCAAATAAACGTAACGAATCGTTACCGGAACTAGTTTCCGGTATAAGAACGGTCTCCCTGGTAGCCAAATTACATAGAACGCTATAACCTTCAATATAGTTGGAGTAAAAGATACTACCATCACAGTGGGCTGAAAGTTCTAAACTATATACCGAGGAATTGCCAAGGATTCCTAGATACACATCAACACTACTACTACAAGAATCGTTATGAGAGATAATTGAGAGGGAAGCTTTTGATTGTGATGATTTGCTGTTGTAGGGCTTGATAAGGATGCTTTCTTGTTAGGGCGGCTGCGATCCAAGTGCATGGTTATAAACTTGTTACTATTAATGAGAGCGTATCATGATTTGCAAACCGATTTGAATCGCAAAAAATATTTCACTGGCAAGTTTAAAAGGATTTCCAACATCAAATTTGTTGGTAAATCATTGGAAATCCTTTTTCTTTTTTTGGTGATGGTGGAGGGGAGATTATAGCTGAATTGAAGGTTTAGTGTACTGCCAACCTATACATAAATATACAACAGGCAGTCTTTCTTGTTCGGAAAGCTAGAAAAAATTTAACCTTAATTTTCAAATCCCCATTAGATATAATTTCTAAATTCTACATTAATTTTTTTATATTTAAAATTATGAAAAATTTAATCATGATAATTAAAATTAAAAGTCTAACATTTTATTAATAATTCTCACCGTTGTTGGTTATATTTGATTACTATATGTCTTTAATTTCTCCCATGTGATATAAATAAATAAAAAAAATTTTATCTTTTATTTATTTATTTATATATTTGGATACTTTCATGTCCCTATAATTCAATGCTCTCTTCCTCTTCTCTCACGGGGTCTGGGAATTCAGGTCTTATCTATAACAGAAGATTAAAGTTGTCCTCAATTGATTCTCCTTGCAGAATTTAAGTTTTTGGAGAGTTAATTTGACGACTTGTGTTGATTTAGAAAATTTGGGTGTTTAATTGACCTAGAGATGTGATTGAATTTTTTTTTTAATGTGTTAAGTAGGGGGGGAGGCATAATTGGGATGGTTAGAGGGATTATTAGGATCTAATGGTAGGGCATAACTATTTTTACAGACAAACAAGATTGGAGTAGCTCTTCTGCTTACTATTTTTACATCAATTGATCAATTCTTTTCGTTAAATAATAAGAATCTTTCGTTGCTTTCAAAAATCTTAAGATCATTTAGCTGTCTTTCAAAAATCAAAACTACTTTTTTTAGTAATTGGTGTTTTGAGTTTGTAACTTTTTTTCTTTTTTATAAGTAGATAAATTACCAAAAAAATTAGATATTATTGACAAAAATTTTTGTTGATAATAATAATTTTTTGTCGGTAATAATATCATCGACGGATTTACCGACGAAAAAACTCCAATATAAACCATGTCAGTAATGCTATTCTATTGGTATTATAAAATTTTGTTGGTAAAAATATATATTTTTGTTGGTATATTATTTTAATAATTTTTTCAAAATTAATTAAATTTAAAAAAAAAACTATGGGTAATAATTAAATTTTCATTGTCATAGTTACTATTTTTGTCAATAATATTTATTTTTTACTTATATTTAATTATTTTTTTATAATTCGTATCATTTTATTCTATTTTTAAATTTATTTTTAATGTAATTATATGAATATTAAAATATACATAAATAAATAAAATATTTAATTTCATTTATAAAAAATATAAAAAGATTTTACAAAATTATTTATAAATTTTAATTACATAAAAATAGAAAAATACATATACGTTCAAATCCTTAACAAATATTTAGTAATACACAAATTAATATACTACTTATTTATCAAAGCTTGTATCTAGGAAACCATCTTTCTTTGAACGAAACTCACGAAGTTTGTCTGCAACAAGAACGAATCTTAATGTATATGTGAACCAACCTTTTTCCAAACTTGTGAATGGTAATTGTTGAGCCATTCGATATCCTTAACAGAGAGCAAAGATAAGTCAACCAATTTAATCTACACTTCCATATACAAACATGATTAACAATAAAATCTCTAGCAGAACTTATTTTAACATAATTGTATTCATTGATTCAACATCCAAGTGAAAGATTGAAAATATGCACATTTCCAAAATAAAAGTACATGATGTTATTTTTATAAAATAATCTTTACAAAGTATGATTGAGAAAAGTATATTTAATAAATTTTTTTCACGTAATCGCAAAAAATTTGACTAATGTATCCATTTACATCGAAACGAGAATCCAAAAGTGATTTTTGTTTATTTTTCCAACCCTACTTGATTCATAAAAAAGGTTCAAAAATATATAACTCTTAAGCTATGTTTGGCACATAAGATTAGTTTAAAGATAGGATACTAATCATTCTATAATATGTTTGTTATGCGTTTAAATAAAATGATTGGATTATTAAAAAGATTAGATATCCTATGCCAATATGATAACTCTATCTTTTGGAAAAGTAAAAGATTATTTTTAATCTATGTTATTGAATTTATATATCTTATTATATCCTTAAAAATTATATCAATAATTTAAATTGTATAAACTTTGAGGAAGAAATTTGATCAATAAATAAATTATCTTATTTTAATCCTTGCACACATCAAACATAAGGTGATATGACATTATTTAATCTAATCATATTCATAATATTATTTTATCTTATTCTATCATAATCTTGTATACCAAACATGATCTAAATTTCTTAAATTAAAATATGAATAATTAAAATCCTAAATCCATCATGCATACTAAAAAAAAAATCTTTGTAAACAATAAGAATTTAAAAGCATAAGCAATTTTTAAATGATTAACTTAAGTTATCTAGATGACCATATAAGTAATAATTGGTCAACATTACAATATTGCTCTTGTAGGACACAAAAAAATCTAAAAAATTCATTATACACAAATAACACAATGGAACACCAAAAGTAACCTCATTGCATGATAACTAGCATATAGTTTTAGTAAGCTCTTTTGTCACTTGTGATATGACTATTTTCAGGAGGAAATTCAATAACCTAATGGCAGTTATCAAGGTTGATTAATGCAATGTCTCAACAGTGATAAATTCAAGCAACTTTTAAGATTTTATAACTCTAGGAAGATGAGGCATTGCAAAGTAAACAAGTAAATTGAAAAGAAAAAACACCAGTTATATCTACCAGTACCATGCCAAAATAGCTAGAATTCTCCAGCAAAATCTTAAGTAGAAACAAAGCATCATTTTTAATCGAGAAACTAGCAAATTTTGGGTAAAATCTACTATAGTTGACAAATTAATAAGAGTAAGAGCAAATGATAGGCAATTGTTAAAAAAAAAAAAAAAAAAACTGTAAACATAAAGTGCTAATCATGTTCTAGAAATGATAAATGACTCTAAAGTCTGAATTAATACTTCCAACATTTCTTTTTGGTCACAGACAGTCTGTAAAATAAATGTAGGGTAACAAGAAAGAGAAAGAGAAGGACTATACCTGCCGCGGGAGCTAACATCGGGAAGAGAAGGACAACGGAACCTATCAGACGACGGTAGACAGTACCGAGAACGGACGAGTCGTGGCAGAGATGAGGGTCGGGGAGAGAGAAAGGGGGTTTAGAGATTTTGTACAGAGGAGAGAAAATAAGACAAAGATTCGGGGATTTCATTTTTATTATCTTTTTCAACGGATTATCGATCGATTGTCATGAAAATTTCGTAAGTAAATTAATTTTCTTTCAAAATTTAATTTAATTTTTTTTACTGATTCTCTTTAACTTTTTACTAGAATTATTTATTGGTAATCCATCAAAAAAGATATTATCGATGGATTATTCCATCCGTGTTTTTTACACTATTTTTTTTATCAAATATTTATATATGAAACATCGATAAAATAGTTTCTATTAATAAATTTTGTTGGCATACCATATGTAATTATTGGATAAAATTATAATTATATTTTGTCGATAAACCTTTAGAGGTCTATCGATAATTATCGACAAAAAATTTCGTTAATAAATTTTGTCAATATTAAGTAAATTTGTTGTAGTGATAGTATGAAGTCTTAATTGTATTTTGTAATTAAATAAGATAACAAGTAAATTATTTTTCAATGAATTAATTTGATATTTCATCATCATTGAAATTAATTAATATAAATATTCAAATACTTTGAATAATATAAATTAATATTTTATTTTTTACAAAAAAATAAAAAAAATTTCGAACCAAAATTTAATAATCATTTAAACCAAGATATTATTATAATCAATTAAATCTTAAATTTTATGTTTCAGATAAGTGAAATCCTTAAATATTTATTTTCACTCACTTGAATTTTTAAACATTTATTTTTACTTCAATTAAACCCTCAAATAGATGAAAATAGATATTAACGGTTAATCAATTTTCATCTAGTAAGAGTTCAATTTTGAAATGATAAAGACTTTGATGATTGACTAATTACAATAAAATGATAAAGATTTAGATAACTATTAAATTTTTATTCGAGATTTTTAAGTAGAATACTAAATTTTTAATTTTAGTAATTAGAATTCAAATCTTGATAATGTAAAGTATAAAAAAATTATTTTAAACTTTAAAATAGCATTTGATATTAATTTCAAAATTATCATGGTAATATAATTATTAAGAAGATCTTATCATTTGTGATTTAAAATTATTTTATTTGGTTAATATTTATTAGTTCTTAAGAATTAAAAATTATTATGTTTGGTGTTATTAAAAATTAAATATTATTTTGTTTAAAAGTACAAAAATAATCATATATATTATAATAGATATATAAATTAATGATTTTAATGTTATTTAAAGATAATAATTTATAAACTATTAGTAATATTTTATTTATTTTATAATAAAATATACTTATATTATTAAATTAATTAATTAATTTTTACAATATAAATTACATAAAATTTGAATTAAAAAATAAAGTGAATCTATTAAAATTATAATAAAGGAAAAAAACAAAAGATTATATTATACATAAAGCATTTAAAAAAATAAAAAACACAAATTATTTTTAAAATTGTTACAATAAATATTAAAATAATTATAATTATAAGATGAAGCTAATATTTAATTCAATCACTAATATTAATTTTATATATCATATTATTTTAATAATAAAATTTTTTTATTTTATTAAATAAAAATTAAATTACTTCGACAACAATTATTGATCACTTTTAAAGATATTAATGATTTAAGATTACCTTCCCATAAAATCTTACCAAAAATGATCATCAAATCAACTTATTAAATTATCATGTTTTTTAGGTGAGCGCTCTGTACCAAACATTAGTCAAAGGGAGGAGTCCTTAGCCTCTTTGAGATTAAAAACAAAAGGTCCAAAACGGTAGCGTATCTCCTGTAATTAGATCATCCCCCAAAATTTCAGAAACCCTATCCGTAAGGGAACCCTGCGATTAAAAGCTTCCCTCAACTCAACGGTGCAACTCCTTGGCCCCAAACCCAGCTGCCATTTTCATGTTCTATGTAAAACCCAAAAATAGAACAAGACAATGAATGCTTGTAAAACAATATTCCGTATATCTTTTTCTACATTTCAACCCAAGCTTGACTTAAACCCTAAACCCTTCTACCTTCCTCTCTCTCTTCGACCCTTCACTTCAGGTACGTTTCTTTCTCTTTCTCTTATCCATTTACATTTTTTTAACATTTTCACCAAAGAAAAAAGCTTTTTTTTTTTATTTGCAAAACTATAGAAATCCCAGATAAGATAGAGTGTAGATTAAAAACCCATATTTTATTTTTCTTAATTTCATGTTCTTTTGGTTAAATGTGCCTTTTTGACCCCTTTTTTGTTTGGGAGGGAGGTGGGTGGGTGCAAGACCCAGATATGATTGAGTTTAGATGAAAGAACCTATCTTTTTTAATTATCTTAATTTCGTTTTCTTTTTGGTTCAATGCAGTTCCTTTATGCAGTAGAATTAGTTTTAGTAGAATCCGAACAAGGTCTTTCTCGGCGGTACAGGAAGTAGCCCCTTTAGAAGATGAATCCCCGGAAGACTTGGCAAAGGACACCGTGGAGAACCTGCTGACTCACCAAGATGATGTTGCAGGGTTGATGAAAATGGAGAGGAAATCTGGGATGCAAGTCTTCAGTAACCGGTGGTTTCCTTACTTGGATATGTTTAAGTGCGGGAGTGAGTATCTGAGAAGCAGGGAGGTTATAGAGGTGGTGGGACCTATCTTGATGGAGGAGAGGAAAGAAAGGTTGAAGAGGGTGGTGAGAAATAGGAGCTATTCAGTTTGCTTGGTGGTGGAGGGATTGTGTGATTTCGGCAATGTTTCCGCCACGTTCAGGTCTGCTGATGCACTTGGTTTGCAGTCAGTTCATGTGGTGTCATGTGACAGCTCGAAAAGGTGGTATGAGGTTTGAAGCCAAAAGTGCCTGACTCCGGGTGATGGTTGTTTAATTTGAGGGTTGTTATGCATAATTATTGTTGCCTATTATATCGAATTGTTTGTTTGATTAGCTTCATACATTATGATTTGGTTGGTTTCAGATGAACATTGGATTAATCAATTGCTTTCTTAACATCATTTGTGTATCATAGGTACAGAGAAAACCGTCATGTTAGCATGGGTGCAGAGAAATGGTTGGATATCGAACTTTGGAACTCTCCCAAAGAGTGCTTTGAACTTTTAAAATCACGTGGTTATCGGATAGCCACTACACATGTGGGAATGGATGCAGTATTGATCTTTTTCCTTCTTACTACAATATTGGTGTTTTGGATAAATAATTGTATTTTATCCTATATTTGAATGCACCTTTTTCCTCTTAGATAAGGTTTTTCATAGTCACAGACAATTTAGAATCTTTAACATGTGTATGGCCCTTGGTGATCAAAGTTCTAAGGTTCTGAGTCTGGATACTAATCTCACTGACTATTTGCTTCTTTTTGCAGGTATCCATATATGACATGGACTGGTCAAGGCCTACTGCTATTGTAGTTGGGAATGAAAATAGGTAACTTACGTTATAAAATTTCTAATCATTTATCTATCTTAGTTTTTTAGTTTCTGAAGTGTAGTGCTTCTATGAGGTATATGATTAGCGTTAGAATTTAGTTGTCTTCTGACGTAAATTTCAATAGTTAATAACAATATCAAATGTCTAACTGAAAACAATAAAGGCAAACGAGGCAAAACTATTAAACATTATTTGTTTGTGGTTTCCTTATTCCATGTTCATCTTAAGCCTTAGTTTTGCGAATATGTGCCAAGTCTTTGTGATGTAATATGTGTTTCTTTTGCTTCTTTAATGAGGCCAAACATTTTTTCACAGTTCTCTCTGTTCCTATCTCTTTTGATGTTATTGCAGGGGAATAAGTGATGAGGCCCTGGAACTGTCAGATTTGCATTGTAGTATTCCGATGAAAGGCATGGTGGACTCTTTCAATGTTTCTGTGGCTGCAGGCATAATCATGCACCACGCTGTTTGTGACAGAATAGCTCGCCTGGTAATGTTTTCTGCCTAAATTCTTGGATATATTAGTGATGTACTGATTCTGATTGTTCGTCTTATTCTGAATTTTGTGGGATTATAGAGATAGTAGAAAATATGCACACAAACCTCCTTTTACATTAAACTTTGACTGAACCCTATTGCTCCATACTTATGTTCCCCTGGTCTATAGACATAGAATTGTTTTTGCAGTTAGACAATCCAAATATATTTTTTATATGCGCCTATGAATGTCCTGTATGTGCAATGTTTGTAGTTTACTTTTACATTGTTAGAGTCCCCATTCAAGTTGCCGAGAGTTTTCCTGATGCATGTGCCAAAATGAGGGATGAATTATTTTTTACTCCATTTTAGTTGACTTTTGTGTATTTAGAATCCTTGTTCAAGTTTCAGACTGTTTCATACCGTTGAGCCTTGAGCTACATAACTGGAGATAGCCCTTCCCATTACGTAAACCCAACCCCTTTTTTTTGGTTTGATTATGAGATCTTCAATTTGATGTGTCCCAAGTTCTAACTGAGGGAATGTTTCTTTGGGGACAAAGGTTCTAAGGTTTGCATGCATCTAGTATTTGCCAGATAGAAATTGCCACAAGAAGTTGTTTATCTGCTTCAATTTATAGGAATTACATATTTTGTCATTCAACACAGGGTTGTCATGGTGATCTGAATGAGGAAGAAAGCCAAATCTTACTTGCAGAGTTCTTTTTGCGTCATAATAAAAGCACAATCAGCATAGCTAATGAGTATGCTAAACGGAAGGCCACTATATCCAGGCCAAGGCTGTGATGTAGTCAAATGCTTGATGTACGATTTACAGTTGTTAAGATAATTGTAAATGATATACCGAGGCTGTGGCTGTGAAGAAATGAAGAACAGTTTGAGGAATTCAGTCTTAACCACCCAAGAAAATGAGCAGGTGATTAGTTACTCAGTTAAGCAAGAGTTACCAGATGCGATGAGCTGGAGTTACGAATGAACTTGGTACCTTGCCACAGCCTAGATGTGAAGGATTATGATTCATCATTGTAGCTGGCAGAAATGTCCTGGTGCAAAGCAAGGACATTTTTAGTTGAATGTTCTTTTCCTAGTTTTTAATATCTTCAAACATTTTGCCATGAAAAAAGTGTTAGTAAACTGTGATCCAATGCATCATATGGTTTATAATTCAATTCTGCAATGAGTTTGTCACCACTGCCTTTGCTGGAAACAGAATTGAAGCAGCCTCGAAGATGATGATGCAGAATTCCAATTATTTTCGTACCAACTTACATTTCTTAGTGCTACTGCAAAAATCTGTTTGTTTTCATATGGTAATTTCTTTTTGTGCAGCATTGCTTAAGAAACTTTACAGGCTAAAACACACTTTAAAGACTTAATTATGTTGATGACTTGTCTGTTAAAGTATAAAATAATATATGATTGACATTTGAAATAGATACATTGCACCCGTAAATGTCTCAACCATTCAAAAAATATGAACCGTAATTCACCATCATGAAATAAACTAAACCAGGCTGCCCTAGTCAATTAACATTTCCCCACTTGTTGTTTGTATTGTGCCCTTGGACTTCTGCATGCTTAAGCCTTCCCCATGCCTCTTCAATTCCTGGGACTTGATGAAGTCTTCAATTCTTGCCTTCAATTCAGTGTCTGGAATCAGCATTTCCACAGTCAGATGGGATCGGTTGAACGGGTCAGTCTGCAATCGTATCAAAAAGGTAAGCACAATTTATCGATAGAATTAATTATTTAGGGAAAATATTATCGATATGAGGAGAACCCGTGACAACGTACACTATCACTTAGAAGATGTCTCTGGATAACAGGCCTGTCTATTGTGATCCTTGAAGATGGTAAGATCACAGGATCCTTCATCAAAGTATACTGCAGGAAAGAAAGTATTTTTCCAGTCAGTGATTTTTTTTCCCCCTTTCTTTTCCGTTTTAACAAAGTATTAACTAAATGGGCAAAACATCTCCAACCCCAAAACTAAACAAAATATGTGATATGCAAAACTCCATTTAAGTGTTGTTTGTTTTTAAAGAAAAGAACATAAAAGAAATAGCATAGCTGGAATATCACTAACAAGAATAGTTTCGAATTATGGCAAGAGGTAAATAGACATACTTGAATTGGATCAAGGAATTCATCAGGTATATCTCCTAGGGCAGCTTCAGTCTCCATGGCCTCAGAAGCTGCAGCCTTGGCCTTTGCACCAAGCTCAATAAAATCTTGTATAATCCTCCCATCCTCACCAATTCTCCGAAGAACAACTGCTGCAGCACTAAACAACTGGAGCAAACCCGAATTTATCAGATTGTAAGTCAAGAAGTATAAGGCCCCGATGAGAACAAGGATATAACAATTCTCTCATATGCTTAAACTAACAAAAGCTTGACCACAGCTAACAACTACCTGTTCATTGTATGAACGACCATCAGTGGATATGGCAGCTGGAAATATGTTTTTGGCATCACCACTTGCCAGGTGAACATAAATGTGGACAATCTTCAAATAAATAAAATAAGAGTTAGTGCACATCTCTTTCCATCAATGCACCAACTTTTGGCCAAAACTTAATACAAGAAATCGGCAGTAAATAAAATATCAGTCAAATTCAAAGTGACTTTTTGAGCAAATCGTTAACCTCTTTCTTTTTGTATTAGTATATACCAAAATGAAAAATCTACATTTTGCCAACCTGCTTGAGTAACTCTTTTGGACGGAATTCATACTTTTCAGGGTCTTTCAGACTAAGAGATTTTCTTTGGGGGCCCACTAATTGCAATAAAAAGTAGTTGAGCATACTCGCCACTCTTTCAACCTGGAAAAAAGGAATCAAGGAACAAAAAACTAATTAACTGAATATTAGAAGAAAGGAGATGACCCAGTAAACTTCATCAAAAACAAAAACCAGTGGCAACTTGTCAGAATAAATTAGACAGATGACAAGCATAGCTGCAAATGAAGAGATGTTACCATCTCAGGGAGCAGAAAAGGAGCTGTAATCTGCTCAGATGTAAATGCCAGCATACTAACATCCTCATTTGCCAACTTCATGTCAATCCGTATAATCTGAAAATAATCGGTAATATATGTTTAACTGAAGTCTAAATTCAAAATGTATACACATACAAAGGGGGAAAAGGGAAAAGGTAAAAGGAACACTGACGTTCTCCTGGGAGTGGAATAGTCTAGTTCTCTCTTGCCTCTCCTGAGCTGGCCTGCGCTCCCATTCTGCAGTATTTGACATCTCAGCTTCAAGCTCTTTGAGTTCAAGAATTTTGTTCAGACTTTCATCAAGGAGGTAGATGCTATCGTTGATCAGGAAATTCAAGAAATTCAGATAAACGCCCTTTTCTTCTTCCTTTGCAATCTGATAGAGTATATTACATTCTAATAAAATTTGCAAATGTATAGATTGTTCAATAAAAAACACAAACCACAGAAAGTGTCACATCTACAGGCCCATGGAGAAGACCCTACCTGTTTCCAAGCATTACGGTGACTAGGAACTTGCCAAAGATATTCAAGAAGTTCAGCAATATTATGGCGGATGTTGAACTTATCATAGAACTGCACATAGAGAAGAAACAACCAATGTGGTCCACAACAACATTTGACACAATGAAAAGTCAAAAGAAATTATAATGTTAAAAAAAGGGTAACAAGATATCTATACTTAAAAATGTTAGCAAACCATCTGCTTTGATCACTTTTAATATGTAGCAATTACCTGTGTATGAGAACCTGTGAACTCAATGTCAACATATAGCTTCAAAAGATTCCTCACAAGATATTCCAAAGACAATGGATGCCCTTCAAATAATGTGGATGTGGCAGATGAATCACTGGAAAGAAAGAAACAAAGTAGTATAAACTTAGGGAACATTTCTTGAGTGAGAAACATGTGACAACAGTATATATCTTTCAAATGAGATTTAATAACCTTCTATGGGGCATCCAACAGTTCAAAACTTCAACCATTTTTGCTCTGAGATAGGGGTTCTTGATAAACTGGGGACTTGCCATAAACATAATAATAAAATTCATAAAGTCATCCTGCCAAACAAAATGCAAAAAAATAAATAAATGAATCCTGTACTAATAAGAATGAACTTTTGGTATAATAGAGTACATAGCTATCTAAGCTAAAACCTACCAGTAAAACCCCATCCAGAGCTTTTGGAATCCGGGAGGCAAATATTAATAGTTCCATAGCATCTTCCACAAAGTGCTCCGGCATAGAAGCAAATTCCAGTGGACAAGAGGATGGTAGGGGCATTTTAAATCCACCAACCAAGCCAACTAACCAAACCACCATTAGTCGATAGAATGAAAGTGCATGTTGAATAAGTGCCCCATCCTAGTGAAAAGAAGCAAGCAATACTTCAAAATACTACCAAATTTACAATTTTTCCTTTTCTCAATATCTCAATAGCAAAGAAAAGACAATCATACACAAATATAATTATATAAATAGAAAATCTCCTACTCCAGAAGAAAAATTGCCAATATGGAAAAAAAGGGAAAAAAACAAAGAAAAACGAAGAGAAAGGCTCCATAAAGGCAAGCAGCACTGGTAACAAGTACAAAGAAAGTAGCGTATGCTTGTGTTTCTCTTGGAATCTTCGTTCTGCTTGCCTTTTTATTTTCAGTCTGGATGAGAATAAGTCAGAAGGGGGAGGGGGGATACACATGATCACAACTAATCAATGCAGGTCATGCAATGGTTCAAAGTATAACCATTTGACACCTAAGACTCTACAAGATAGCCAAGCTTCCAATTAACTGCAAAGACATTAATTCACTTTAAAGTTCACTAGACAGGTAAATCCATATGCATGTGTTGCTGTATCATGTGTACGCACACACTTAAGAGGGGAAGAGACAGGATGTACCCTCAAAATTTGAGCCTCATAACAGACTTTTTCCTGTGAATACGATTCTATTTCTTTCTCAAGCCTGGATATATCCAGCTCCAGTTGTTGAGAAGGTGTCTGTCCTTGCATAGCTTTTAAGGTGGCAAGAGTATCTTCACATCTTGAAATGTCCTAGGTGAGGGCAAATCAAATAATTTCACTCATAAATAGACGAAACAAGAGAACAGAAAAAGCTCAGTAATCAGTAATGCATACCTGGACTAGATGCTTAAAGTCAGAAAATGCCTTTATGAGGCCCAAGTTGAGTGCCCTACCGGTCATAAAGAAGCATTCACAAATAAATGGATATTTAGCTTTTTCACCACTACTTGTTGTTGGCTTCACATTGAGGGTAGTGCCAGAACTGGTAGCTTCTTGAGATTGCAGCAAACGATTTTCACCATCACCATATGGTCTGCTCCCATCGGGATTATCTTTATTAATCCATTCAGCAACTTCCTCCGAGGTTGCGTACAAAGCAGTTAGCCCCCTAACATAGGTTCACTATCATACTTGGGAAAAGAATTTAAAGCATATAACAGTTAGAAGCAAAACGATCTCCATTGACATAAAAGGCCATTACCTCAAATCTAAACGGTTACTGTAGAAGACATAGTTTGGATCAATTTTATCTCTTTTTGTTAAATTTGCATCCAAAAATGGTTCAGAAAGTCGAAGCATAACAGCGCTGAGACTGACAAACATGCCAGAACTAGCACAAGATATAGGATCAACCTGTCATAATGTCATCAACAACATTGCGTCAAAGAGGCTAGAGGATAGTGGCTACATCATGAAAGCATCAAATAATTAGTTAAATACCATGAAAAAGGACTCAAGCCTTTTACTTAAAACATTCTTAGGTGGAATAAACCAAAGAACAAATTCTCATTGATCAGCTTGTAGTATTAATGGCCATAATTAAGCTCTTGGTAATTGATATGCATTCTAACTGAAACTCAAAAT